ATCATTAACTTGAAGAATACAAAACTAATGAACCAAACTAGGAAAGTATAGTGTCGTGTTGTCGTGTCAATCCCGTTCGATCCCCACACTTCACTAACTGAGCGAACATTAGCACAAGACAAGCTGCCCTAATCAGGACCATCACATCCTTCAGAAAGTGACTACCATTACGTTGTTTCAATGTTGTTTTAATATTTAACATTAGCTGCTTGAACGCGATCTTCATTACACCATCGCGGAATCACCGAATAAAAGCTTGCCCATTTATAACAACGTTTTTTTTTACTTGCTGCTGTTGAGCTGAGACGTAACTTCGCGATTGACATTTAAAGCTTGCAGCCACCAAAATGCTCATTATTATACAATTTCGGCTGAGTCTGATAGTTACCTCACTGAGTCAAGTGATTTAAATGATGATAATTTATACTGTTTGTTTTATTATGTTCTAATCTACGATCATCAATCTATTCACTTCCAAAATTTAGGGGGTTCGACCGAACCCCCCGAACCCCCCAAACTACGGGCCTGTTATTATGTTTTACGTAAACTGACAGTCACCAGAGAAAAAAAAAAAAGAAAAGCAAAGGAATGTGTCACAATAAATATTAGAGTTTCTTAAAACCGAAAACTACCCAAGCTCCAGCTAGCAAATATTACTCTGCGGATTTCTTACTCTCGTTCATAATAGTCAAAGAAGCTTATTTGCAGATGAATATAATAACGTAATTCACTATCTAGGGTCTGGTATTGTAATGTAATGTTGAGTAAAATACAAAGCGAACCTTAACGATAAGGTAAACTCATATTTAGTTGGAGGCGGATGAATCGTCGTCACATCGCGCCGCATATGTGCGACATTTGACTTGATAAACATTCATTTTCTCCACAATCCAATGCCCTGAACGCCACTTGCACAGAGGGCGTCGATCAGGGGGACAGGGGGACAGGTCCCCCCCACTTTCTGAAGGGTGGGGGACACAATATCAACTGTCCCCTCCACTTTCCTGACTTACCCAAATATCAATATTAGGCTTATATCAAAGCCTGCGTTTGTGTAAGGCCTTTGGTTCTCTGTACATGTACTGTATTCTTAATGATCAAGAATGAAAATCCCCAAGTATGCACCAAATAACTTCATTTTGGTTGCATTTTTCAAAAATTCCTACCTTTCGAGAGGGACACATCCCTCCTCGGGGTTCCACACCTATATTCCGACACAGGGGCGGATCCAGCAAAATGTATTGGGGGGGTCCAGGCCTAGTAGGTCGAATACCAGGGACCGTGCGATTCAGACGATGCTATGCGTAATCCAGATGCATTTTCATGCATGACCCCCCCTCTGGATCCGCCACTG